TGTATTTTTGCAAAAGAGCTTCTTTGTTGTGCATGCCAATGCTATAATTACTACATTCATAGGTCATGACTTCTATAGATTGGACAATTCTCTTAGCAATAGCATAACCTTCAAATGTGAAAGTGAAGAAGGTGGGTGTAGAACTAATGAGGCATAATCTAATATTCAACCATGAAAGAGCATCCATACAAATGTTGTGCTTTTATTCATGTTTTAATTCATACTTTGATTCATGAGCAAACTTACAATATATTAGTGAGATAATACCTTCATGCACTTGAATATCTTCATATGGAAATGACAATTGCTAGGAGATCAATTGCATTAGATATTTGGTTTTGCTTCCTATTAAAAATATGTCATAATCAATTATTTGTATCTTACTACATACAAGCAAGCATAATGGTTCTTTGAACATTTCAACTTTTGGATAAAGATTTAGCTAAAGCCACACCTTCATTATCCAATATAGTTGTAAGAAGTATAGAAAATGAATGAACTATGGCAATAGATTCTTATGAAACTAAAAGAAATTAGTTTTCTCAATAGAATCAAGAAAAAATATCATAAGATGATGAAATTGTATTGTGGTCAACACATGTTTTGATTTCTTTTATTATATGTTTTAGAAAGGTTGTAATATTTTACCATTTTCAACCATAATTTGTTATATTTATCACCAAAGGTTGTGTCACGGACATACGCATGTAAGCCAATAATTACATGTATAAATAGGTAGAAGTAAGTAAAAATAGGTAAAAATAAGTTAATTCTATAATATTTGCTATGAAAGCTTCCTAGAAGCTTTATAGATACTGCTTTGACTTTATAGGTGTCTTTAATTGATTTTTTGGATTAAAAACGTGGTCAAAAAGTTGGCCATGTGCCACACATGTTGTTAGCTTGAAGACCAAGCTAACTATGTGGCCTACACATAAAAAAACTTATCTTGTAAGTCAAGGCATGTGTCCTATAAAGTCAACACATATTGGAGGTCCTATAGAACATCGCCACATAGCTCCTAGTTAGATAGTATATATAGAAACAAGAGTGAAGCCATCTTCATTCTTATCATTTATTTTTTTGCTTCTAGTCTAGTTTCAAGGGTCTCTAATTTTCTTGTCTTTTGGCAATAGCCATTCCAGTTTCTTTCTTAATATACATATTGAATTATTTCTAGTTTGTCATCTTTCTTTGACAGAAGTGTCACTTGTTTATTTATTTTTATCAAATTCTTGTCCTTGACAGATTGACAAGAGTATACTTATAATATTAGAGCTTTGTGTAATCTTGATTAAAGGTGGATTACCCTTTTCTATTGATAAGACATAAGCGTATTAGAAGTTGTAGATTACCCTCTTCTAAACTAATATTGTTCTTAGTATTTTTTTTGTTTTCAAGTCTTCTCTTCTATTTGTCTTGAGCAATATTAGACATCTTTTTTTCTAAGTATTATCATTGAAGAACTTGCTAAAATGAAGAGTGCAATGGCACAAATGTAAGAGCAATTGAAGAAATTAATGCTTACGATGCATCAACTCAATTTACCACCACAAGGAGCAATAAGATTGACAGGAAGTGAAGATATAAAAATGATTGGAGCTGCTTCAACATTTGCACCAAATCATGTCCCTTCTCATATGGTGGAACGTCCTTCTAATATTAGAAAATCAAGAATTGTCATATCCGAGAAGTTTGATGGCACCTGATCAAAGTTTAGAGGATTTATTAATCAAGTACAACTTGTGATTGAACTTCAATTCCAAAGCTATCCAACTCTAGGATCGCAAGTTAGATTCATTGATATGCTTCTTTCAGATTCAACATTATCATGATTTTCATCTTTTTTTGAACGACAAGATCTAATATTGGATAATCTAAATACTTTTTTTGGTGGAATTTTGATCTATGTATGGTAAACATGATGCAATTCGTGTTGCAACCAACAAGATCCGTATTTTACGACAAGACAATTGATCAATAATGTTGTATGCTTCTTAGTTTTAATAACTTGCAACTGATATCAAGTGGGATGATGCTACACTTATTAGCCAATTTTTCTATGAATTACAATGTGAGGTAAAAAAATTAATGTTCAACTTACTTGATCCTCAAATATTAAGTCAAGCAATTAATTTTATTAAGAAATGTGACAATTATCTTTTTGAATTTTGATTTGAGAACCATATAAGTGGACTTCAACGTTAATATAATTCAATGGCAATATCAACATGTCTTCAACATATACATTCAAAAGTAGAGGATATGCAAATTGATGCGGTACGTTTCAAACTTCTTATTGAGGAAGAAAAGACTCATCGTCGTTAGGAAGGATTGTACTTATATTATAGAGAATCTAAGCATATTGCTCAACATTGCCCACAGAAGCGACACAACCATAAAATGAGGAGTATGGCAATCAAAGAAGATAGCATGTTGAAAAACAAATTTGTCTAGCTACAATAGGGACCGTGCAATTGGAACCATATACAACATCTAGTGAATGTCCTATTCTCTCTTCAAAACCCTCTCTATATTTTATGATAAATATTATTCTAGGATCTAAACATCACAAAGCCTCTACCTTGCTAGATTTAGGAGCCTCAACATGTTTCTTAGATGAAAAATTTGCTAAAAGACACAGCATACTTTTAGTGAAGAAGACTAAATCTATTCATGTAGAAGTCATAGATGGTCGTCTGTTGTCTTCAAGAGATGTTACTCATGAAACCCTTCCTATAGAAGTAGCAACAAATGGTCATAGTAGCTTTGTAATATTTAATATCATTAGATCTCTCTCTAATCTAGTCATTTTAGGTTTATTATGGCTAGAAAAATATAATCCTAAAATAGATTAAACTTCTTGTATTCTTAACTTTTCTAAAAGTATAATTAAGAGAGTAGTTAACCAAATAGAAAGTCATAAGTCTAGTACAATTAAACCTCTATTTGTAGGTACAAGAGCTTTCTTGCATGTTGCAAAAGAAGGATCACCTTTTGTCATTTATGCCACACCTGTTTTTACTAGTGGAAACACTTCAAGTGGCATTCCAAGCCAATATTAAGATTTTCAAGATGTATTTGAAAAGAAAAATATAGATACTCTTTCAGAATATCATTCCAATGAATACTTAATTGACTTTCAAGAAAGAACACAACTGCCATTTAGACCAATCCACAATTTACCACAAAATGAGGTGGCTGAACTCAAGGAGTATATTGAAGAAAATCTCGCCAAGAACTTCATGTGCCATTCCAAATCTCTAGCAAGAGCTCCAATTTTATTTATAAAGAAAAAAGATGGATCATTGCAGATGTGTGTTGATTATGAAGGATTCAATCAAATCACCATAAAAAATAGATATTTATTATCTTTGATATTTGAACTCCTTAATCAGTTGAATCAAACTAAGAT